TATTACTTTAAAAAGTATGTAAGAGTTCACCAAGAACAGTCTTCGGGGTAATAATTAAGTAAATGCTACGTAGAGCTCTTAGCATTGTGCTCAATGAAGCTCAAAGAGAGTGCTTCCCCTTTAAGAAGCTTATAATCTAAAACATACAAATAACCATATGCAGCAAAAAGCTAGAGATCAGAGTAAAAGGAAGCATTCACAAAAATGTACAAATTCAGCATGCCAGAACTTTTCAGTTGAGCAACATGATCCCCAGTGAAATTCTTTCCAAATGATGTATCGTGTGCACAAGTTATAAGTGATTATCTTCAATTTTCTTAGAAATGAGTAATAAGATACCTCTTAAGACCCATGCTTTTGTATATGCATCAAACACTAAAGTTGGCATGGTCATTGATAGCTGCCATTTAAGGAGAAAACATATTCTCTGTCTTGTCTCATACCAGACAAATCCAGGATTCTTTTCTCCCAGGTTGATAATAAGGAGAGTTTTTTTTTCCTAGGCTACAGTGAAGAGAAAACATTGCAAGTCTAAAGATGGAAGTTGTAGAATGCTCCAAAATATTGCATCAAAACATTGGATACAACTTACCAGCCCATGAGAGAGAAAGAGAGAGAGAGAAAAAAACATTGCAAAACTGACACGATCTGTATCATCTTAACATCCATCCAAACCTTCATCTGCCTGGATTTCCCGATGCTTAGAAAATGGAATTCACTCCAAGAATTAAGAAAACTCTTTTTAAGATGGCGGCCCTATTTAGAGACTTCTCCCTATCTCCCACTTCATCTCTTCAGTCCTTTTCCCTTGCCCAGGCTGCCTATTGTGACCATTTGAGCCAATTTCCTGGAGGTATTTTCTAGCCCTTTTCACCCTATTTAATCCTACAAGTTTCCTGGGAAGCCTGTTTACTTGTGTGCTCCCCCACTAGACTGTGAGCTCCTTCACAAAAGGGGACTGTGTCTCTGCTTTCTGCAACCCCAGCAGAACCTAACATAGACACTGCCAAGGTGCACCACTGTTCGGCTGCCATCTGCTCCCTCTGACTGCTGGGTTCTCCAGACCCATCTCTCGCCCAATAGCAACATTAGCATAATAAATATACTCAGACCCCACGTGCGAGGATTCTCCCGAACCATGTTAGCACACAGCAATACAACTTTCCTGAAGTTGAAACAAATCACCTGTGCATACCAAAGTCTGTTGCAGTTTCCAGAGGACAGAAAACTCTCCCACACCTCACTTTTTTATTCTCTCTTCCTCTCTCTCTCTCTCTCTCTCTCTCTCTCTCTCTCTCTCTCTCTCTCTCTCTCTCTCCATTAGGACCAGAGCACTAACTGCTTCAAGCTAATTGGGGAGTCACAGCTGGCAACCCAGATAAGGTTGCTAGCTCTCACATTTCTCTCATTTTAAAAAAGCCAAATTCTTTTTTCTTCCTCTCTCTCTCTCTCTCTCTCTCTCTCTCTCTCTCTCTCTCTCTGCTTCAAGAATGTTGCTTTATTAACATTGTTTTTTTTAATCTATTATTATCAAGAAAGTCCGAGTAGGGTTGTTGGAGGGTGCATTTGTAACCATGGGGCATTTGGCCTTCTGGTTTGGTTTTCTCACTTTCCAAGGCCCTCCAAGCAAGATCCTTGAATCTTTTGGGAGTTGCAACACTACCATGATTTGTTTGATTTGTCTCATACCCTCCCCTCCATCGTTCCCCCTCCACCAAAAGTGGTGTATGGCATTCATAAAGTGAATTACACTTGATTTTTGTTTGGAAGAATTTTTTTTCAGACTTCTGTAACATTCCCTTGAGACAATTGGAAACATCATTGTCTGATTACTAACTCACTTCCCTTGCCTAAAATTGTATCCATTCTTGATTGTGCCTGTGGGTAGGTTAAGCAAAACAAAATAAACATCTAGACTTATGAGCTCATTGGCTTTTTTTTTCTGAATTTTTCTAAATTAAATAAGGGCAAAAGAGCTGCACTGAAAGTCAGTTATATGGATTTTTCTGCCAAATGCTAACTCTGTGTGCCTGGTTTCCATCTGTGGTGCTTTCCAAGTTACAAATCCTTCACAAAGAGAGAGAGAGAGAGAGAGAGAGAACACATAGGGTATAAGAGATCTATGGAATTCAGAGGCATGCTATTTAGAATTGCTATATTGTGTCTTTGTACAACTCTAAAAGAAATGAGAACCTGAGATTGTAAGACTTCAGATGAGCTTTGTGTAAGTCTAGGGAAGTCCTTCAGCACCAGTGATTTATTTTTTAGGCTGGTTGATTTCCAATGCCATTTAGTCTCTTCCATATTAGCATAAGAAATGTACCTTATCAACTTTCTCTACTAATGGCCAAAGTTAGCAGGCAATCCCAAATTTTCTTCCTGGGTGAAACAGGACATTCTTGAGGATTTTTCCTTACTGTGATCAAATCTCATTTTTATCTGGGACAAAGAAAGCTTTAACACAGTGCAGCAGGCAAACAACATGGCTTAAAATATACATGGCAGGGTTAAAAAATTTGAGCGGTCATCATGATGATTCATGACTATCAAATAATTTGCAGCTCTTTCATTTTCCAACCACTGGACGACAGTAGGAAATTATACATTTATTCGCTTAGAAATTATGCACTTGCCATTGTATTTAGTCTGCCATTATGATGTCTTCTCTGAAATACTGATGAGCTCTTTCCACACATGGATATCTGGACTTTCATCATGTTTTCCGTATCTACACTGACCATATTTGCTCAACTAAAATTCAGGGCACGTGGCCTCCTGCCAGGCCAGAGTATTTGAAATGTGTACTGCCCCCAGAGAAACCGAGGCTACATGAGAGCTATATGGACATCACCATATTTGAATTTGGGCCTGGCTCAAATGTCAGTACCTCCGATGAAAAGGGTGCTCACTACCATGTATGTATGTTAAAGAAAACTGAAGTGGGTTGTGTTGTATTTCTATGACAAAAACCCTAGAAAAAATTATTTTTCCTAGGTTTGTGAAATAGTAGAGGAAAAGAAGAAACCTGTATTACAAATACGACTCTCTAATTGTGATCATCACTGGGCTGGACTGGAGTGAAGAGGGAGGGAAGAAGCCTAGGTGAACTCTCATGCACCCACAGTGTGTGTGGGCCCTCCCTATATTTTTTATACAGATGCTGCAGGAAAGAGGCAAGCAGCCAGGGAGCGTGTGTATCTGAGTGTGCATGTGTGTGCATGTATGGAGTGCATGCGTGCATAGGGAGGTTTGCTAAATGAATATCTGTGCTTTCCTCTAGTGCTTTTCTTTTAAGCACCACCTTTACTCCCTGGCTTCCAATCAACCCAACAGGACCTCAACCCCAGTCTTGGACCCATTCATTTTGTGGGGGGCTCAGCCTACATGAACCAATTTTTACATTATCAACAAAAGCATGTTCTCTAGCCTTAGCAATCTAATTACCATGGCACTTTAAGGGGGAGAGATATTCGCCTGTTGTTTCAGCTCCGTGGAACTGATTCATAGGTCGCCCCTAACTGCTCCTGCACACGCCCACGTGGTATGTTATTAACGCCCAACACTGGAAGAGGTAGTTCTTAGCCTCCCTTAGAGTGTTATCCTGCAAAGCAATATTTAACATATGCGCAAATGCATTTCAGTCACCAAAAGAGGGTGACCAATTACCTTTGCAACTAAACAGCAGGCTCGCTGGACTCTTTTCATCAACCTAAAGAAAAGGCTGAGGGCGCGCTGGCTGCCTAGGTAACCTCCTGCCAGTGAACGTTCGCTGGCAGCGCCCACAGGGCGCGCATCCGCATTCACAACTTGGTCCAACCATCAGGCCCGCCTCCCGGACTTGTGGAGAGCGACCCGCCAAGTTAGGGCGAGGGCTGCGGCTCCCCGATCTCTCCCCGGAGCGCCGCGGATCCCGCGCCTTGTTGAACGTGCTACTCGGAAAGAGACCCTGGAGGCCACAAACCTCTGATGGGGTTGCCAATAGAACGGGCGGTTTCTTCCGAGCGCACCTCTGATACATGAACCTTTTTTGAAACCCACACTCTTCTGGCCCACACTGTCGATGTAGCAACTTGTCCTGATTGGATTGAAAAGCGAGCGTTAGGAGCCTAACCGCTGGACAGTCAATCACAGAAGGCCATTAATATTCATCTGTTGACAGCCGCAGCCCTCTGCTAAGGTTAAAATATGCCCTTACATCACGATCTGATTGTGCAGAACAAAAGGCATGCGTTCAGAAAGTTTCCTCTGCCTAAAATTTTCTCCCCTTCAGGGGTCCAGACTGTCAAGAAAGCAGATCATTTGCGGGGGGAGGGGGAGGGGGGAAGAATGAGTTCAATCCTGTTTGGACTCCTGCTCCACGCAGTAGGACCAGTGATTTTTAAAGATTTTGTTTTTAAATAATCAACCTAGATTAGAGACGCTGTTGTGAAAGGAAAAAGCTCAGTTCTGCACAATTTGGGGACCCTCGAACTGAAAAGTTTCCTTCCGTGTGTCTCCAGTCAGTACCGCAGATTCGGAGATCTGTCCACAAGTTTGCCTGCACTTGGACCCGCCAGCATCGGGAACCCAGACTGAGGGACAAGGAGGGCTCAGAGGATCCGTTGGGGAAAAGGATGTCTGGGGTTGCCGATCCAGCTAAAGCCTGAAATTCTGACACGTACGTGCGAACAAGGGTGATAAATTCCCTAGGCGCCGGCTCGACTGAGGGACGGTAGTTCATAGGGGTGGGGGGGGCGCTCTCGGAGAATCCGTTCCTACCTTCCCGCCGTCCCCCCAAAAATGGGCTCTTGCGAGGAGGCAATCCCCGCCGTTTCCTTCCCATCCCACATTCCCTGAAAACTGGGCAAGCCCGGGGTCCGCAGGCACACCAACCACTCCCACGTATCCAGTAGTAGGGTACGATCGTGGCTCCTCGCGGCTCGACCGCTCAGTGCATCGCCAACCACGCACGCCTTGGCTCTCTGAGGGAAGCGAGGAAGCCCCGAGGGACCTTAACTCACCTGGCACGGGGGTTTCGGGAACCCATTTGAGTCCGGGCTGCAGTCTCTGGAAGAAAGAACGGACTTGATGACAGGTGGCGTCTGGAGGCGGCGGTGGCTGAGCCTGTCCCAGGCAGTCCAAGCTGAGCAGCATCGCCACCACCAGCAAGCACGCGGGGCGCACGGTCTCGGCCATCCTGCTGTGCAGGGAGCTAGGAGAGCGCGGGAGAGTGGCAGTAGGAGCGAGAGCAGTCTCGGGACTAGGCAAGCCTAGCAGCGGCCCTGAGGAGCGAGAGACGTGCCGCTAACACAGCCGCCGCAAAACTTTCCTCGCAGCTACCTGGGCGCTTGAGCAAGGGCGGGAACCGCTCGGCGGCTCGGGGCGGGGCTGATCGAGGTGGGCGGGGCGAGGAGGGACGGGGGCGGGCCGAGCCTAGCCGCGCGGCTAAGGGGGCGGCGGCGGTCCTGCGGCTCCAAGCCTGCAGGGTGCGGGGCGAGGCTCGTTCGAGGCCTGCTAGGTTGACTGGGGCACGGAGGCGTTGGGGATTAGACGGGAGCGGCAAGTGAAGAGGGTGCAGAGCTTAGTGCGGCGGTTTCTGGCAGCCTGAGCCCCGCTGCCCGCTCGCTGCTGCTCAACACTGGGCGCTCTGGCATAACTACTGCAGAGGGGCTGCAGGCTCGGGCGTTCTGATTGGCTTCCCAGCAGCCGTCCCCTCTGACTGGCTCTGGGAGAAGTTCCCCAGCCTCACTCCTCCTTCCCGCCGCTCATTGGCCTACACCCGGGAGGGCTTTTCCCTTTAGGAATTTTGCAACCTCTCCGTCTTTCCATGGAGGGGAGTCCCTGGCTTACTTGCCCCTCTACTTGGTCATTAGGCTAACTCCCAGCCATTTCAGATAGAGGATCCAGCTCATCTCTGCCTACCAGAACCACATAAGGTCTTACGCACAAAATCCACCTCCTTGATTGTCTTTTCCTGAGCTTCCCGCGAATCGTTTTCCCCAAGCCAACGCCTTTCTGGCTGGGTTCTCAAATCCAAATAGTCACGTTCAGAATCAGTTGGGGGACCTCTACGACTTTCACTGCCTGCCTCATCTTTGAACATTGTACCTAAAAAAGTCTGAAACCCCTCGTGACTTGCAATATTTGCTTCAGTGAAAATCAGACAAAGTCAGATAAAGCACTTGATCCCATAATGTTATTTTTTTTTTAAATCATCTGCCAGGCAATCGTGGCTTACTTCTGTCATCCTAGTTATTCAGGAGGCTGAGATCTGAGTCTTACGGTTCGAAGCCAACCCGAACCAAAAAAAAAAAAAAACTGTAAGTGAAGCTGTAGCTCAAGTGGTAGAGCACTCACCTTAAGCAAAAAAAAGCTGAGGGACAGCAGCACCCAGACCCTGAGTCATTCCCAGGAACTGGCCACGACCACCCACACGTGAGCATGTGCACGCACGTGCACTCACACACACACAGAGAATCCTCTCCTGCAGATTGGTTCTGGTGAGCAGGAAGCAAACCCTAACTGGAAACAATGAAATAATCTGAGGTTTAACACCACCCCTAACTCAGTAGAAAATTATTTTTTACAAAACTAACTGAGCCAGAGATAACTTGTTACATAGCTGAAGTAAAAGACGGAAACATCTTCTGGACCCCAATTCTCATCTTGCCTGCTTAAATTTCACCATTACAAATGCAGTTGTTTCAGTCAAACGTCTTTCTGTGGAGGAATGCATTGGGCCATTACCTATATGCTACTATGTAGGGTAGTCTTTGTGAGTACACAGGTACCAAAGGACACATCTTAGCCACAGTTCTTTCCAAAATAAATGTCTAACAATATGTCAAACAATAAATATGTCTATAATGAAATGACTTAAAGCATCCTAATATGAATTAGATGCTCATCGAATTGTGTTGTTTCCCACCTAAGTGAAAACCACTTTGAGAAAGGAACGGGGTGTACTTCTTTGGCTAGATGAAGGGGAGATTGTATCTTAGGATTTGTGGGCTGGGAGGTACATGAACAGGAAGATGATGAAGGAGTTCACTCATTTGCTCACTTAGTAGCAACTAGTTTAACTCCTATGCTACGCTACACACCAGAGGATATACGCAACGAATGGAGCACTATAGAAAGATCTGCTTGCAGTACCAACCAACCAGAATGTTAAGTGCTACGACAGACTTCTGAGGGATGAGAGGTGGATCAGACCAAGCCTTCTCTGGAAAGATGATGCCCTAAACTCACACTTGAAAGACCCCTAGGGGTGGAGGTGAGAAAAGATTGGGGGATGGGTGCCCAGGCTAAGGAAGGAAGCAGAGTGAACAAAGAAGGGAGGCTCTGGCATGGCCCATTTGGAGGGTGGGAGGTGTGAGTAATGATTTCAGGCCTAGGAGTTAAAAGAACTAAGGTGGGAGTGAGAAGAAAGAACCAGATCATGCAGAGTCTGGAAGCCAGGAACAAGAGGCTGGGGAAGCCCTTAAGGAAAACTTAAGCCAAAGGGTGAGATGAACTTGTCCTGTGAAAAGATCTCTCTAACAGTATGGTGGAGAATGTTTTGGTGAGAGGAAACAATGGAAAATCAGAAGACCCTGTTAAAAGGCTGAAAAATAATCCCGGCAAGAAATGACAAAGGACATTCAGAAAGAGGGAACTTGTTCCAGAGATATTTAGGGGATAGAATTAAAAAGGTATGGTGACCTAGTGCCTATGGGGGGGGAGATGGGGGAGAAGGACTCTTATTCACTCTTTTTTTTTTCCAACAAACGTTCGAGTGCCGCCTATGTATCTGGCATTCTTCTACTTCATAATTTTGCCCGGGGCTAGGCCTGCGCCTGCATTGAACATTTGACAAATGACATATCCACTTTAAAAGAAACACCAATTAAGAGTCATAATTTGGCTGGTGAGTTTGATATGTTCCACCTGTGGAGCCCTGCGACCAAAGGGCAGATTGGGAGGCAAGCATTGATTGAATTTCATGACCTTGCAGAGGAAGACATGACCTCCCATAAATTCATGATCTTCCAGACCTCATGCAACTAACTACAAAGGCAACAGTTGTTTTCAACTCCTGGGAATTGAGTACCTGGAAAAGAAAGGCTGTGACTTCTTTTTTTTTTTTTAATATATGCCATGATATCTAATATATTTTGCATAGAGTAGAACAGTACTTTTCCCAGTGAACTGGGTGCGACTCTCTGGATGGAAAGAAGGAGACTAATGATGTTTTGTTGTTTTTATTTCATTTATTATCCATACTCAGTTATTCAAAGGAGTTTCATTTTAACATATCAATTTATGAGCATACTGTATCTTTTTTAAGTTATCTTTTTTCAAATTATCTTTAAGTAGTTGTACTAAGGAGTTTCATTTCAATGTGTCAACTCATGAGTAGGAGGCATCTTGATCAATGTCATCCTTTGGTTTTGATTTTACTACGTATTTATTTTACTGGTGGATTTGAAAGATAAGCCTGTAACTAGTGCACTCGACTTAGATTTCGTTAAGACAAAGCTAAGTAGAAGTTCTAGGACACATTTAGTTACATAAAAATGTGTGTTGGTTTAAAGAGAAAATAGTCAATAGTATTGGGAATATGAAAATATAACAAAATGTGTGCTGGTGTATAAATGCCTAGGACTTGGGCTCAGACATAGGCAAACATGTCCTGAGGATGTGGAAAATACTTCTTCAACCTAGAAGCTTTTGTTCCCACTCCAAGCAGCTACTTCAGAGCTTTTAGCCAACCTAAGGTAAGAGTTATTAAAACTTGCTGCACTGAAGTAGTGCTTCCATTTTTCAAAGTGCCTCTCAAAGATTTCTAACCTTCCAGTGCCCGAGTGATAACTTTCACAGTGGAATATATGGTGCTGAAATAGGCACTGGGGCAATGGTTTTTTTGATACAAAATCACAATAGCTATAAGCCTTCGTTGACTCAATGACGACCAATTTTACTAATAAAAATCCTTAACCAGGGGCTGGGAATGTACCCTGGTGGAATACTTGCCTAGCGTGTACTAAGCTCTGGGTTCAATCCCAATCCTAATGATAAATAAATAAATAAGAAATAAGAAACAAATGAAAGTATAAAAAGAAAAGGGAAAAGAGCCAGGCACTGGTGGCTCACACCTGTAATACTTGCTATGCAGGAGACTGAGATCTGAGGACCACGGTTCAAACCCAGCCTGGGTAAGAAAGTCTGTGAGACTCTTACCTCCAATTAGCCACCAAAAAAACCAGAAATGGAGCTAGAGCTTAAGTAGTAAAGCCCCACTGCTGAAATCTATTCAAACCTCACCGTCAGTACAAAAAAATGAGGTGGGGGAAATCCTTAACCAAAAATATAAAATCAATTTCACCATACGCTCTATAATGCCCAGATGGGTAAGTGTGAATTGAGGCTGTGTTTCCTACCTAGAGTTGTTTCGTGCAGTTATTAAGTCCCAGCTACTTGGGAGGCTGAGGCAAGAGGAATGATTGAGTCTAAACGTAGCTGCTCAAAGCCAGCCTAGGTCACATAGGAACATCATCTCCAAACCAAACAACAACCCAAAAAGTTGGATTTTCATTTTCTGTCTGAACCTCAAGTCTCCCTTGCTCAAGTTGGGAGCCCAGCCAGTGATTCATCCGTACTCTTCAGCAAGAAGAAACAAAGGGAAACAATCAGACTAGAAATACAAAAGGATGTGCTGATTGAGACCGTGTTCACTTTTGACAATTCAACACTCTGTGCTTTCAAGCCCAGTTGGAATCATTTCGATAACAGCATTAGACCCCATTTTCCTTGTTGGACCCCCAAGGGAAGGCTATCGTAGCACAACCGGCCCAGAAGAACTTTTCTTCACCTTTCGCTCCTAGTCTCCAGTTCGAAAGAATTCGAGAATTCCCAGCTGTGGCCAGCAGCTATTATCTTGCTGTAGCTGGGAGGAGAGTCTGGTTCCATGGCTCCAAAAGCAGCATAAATCAAGTTTTCTGGGAGAAGGTTAAGAAAGGGTGTTCAACAGCTGCTGCCATGGGAGGAGCGCGTACACAACCGTACACACTGGCCACACAAACACACACACACACACACACACACACACACAAATGCACACACGTACATTGTTTGTCTTGGACCCAGTTCCCTTTCCCCCACCCCAAGTGATGTTTTCCTCTTTCCTTCCCCCTCAAGTCCACACCACCTTCTGGTCTTAACCCCACTCTCAAGCTCTGCTTTCAGAGAAGAAACTTTAAAACTCATCTGCTCATGGTGGTGTATGGTTGATAGGATATAATGGGCCTGCCCACCCAGGGGTATTAGGATTTTAACAGGGATCAAAGCTTTCAACCAAAGGAACAGAACTCTAAAAACCGTGGAA